GTTCCTGATTCGAGTCCTGGTGGTGACAGTCAATTATTTTCACTGCAGTCTTTTCCCCAGTTTCTCAGTCCCTCGGACTTATGAACAGTCGTTGTATAGTAACACAGCACTACATACACGGTATAAGATTACAAATTGAAATTACATGTACATCATGTACATGTTTGCCCATAGCGCTCGTCGAAAAGGTCTGGCAGGAAATCGGCAGATTGTGTTGGCTATACTAAAGAGCTATACCCTTGGGTTTACCAGGTGTTATCGTCGTGCGTTCCCTTCAGGAACGGACACGATAATTTACTTTTTTTATAGAGTTGCACCACCCTAGCTTGCCTGCCATGTGCCTGTGGCCGGTAAAGACGGCACTCGGCAGTGCACTTCCAGTACCAGAGCTCGGAAGTTCAAAATGCGTTGACACTAGCTCGCTTTTTCAAGAGCTAAAATGTACATTTCTTATTGTGCGCAAGCTCCACTGCCGTCACTTCATTACATGAAAGCTTTTTCATGAATGTACCCCAGTTGCAAAGACTGAGACTCCTGGGAGTCTCATTTGATGCCAAGCTGTCATTCCGCAACCACCTCTACAATGTTGCAGTCCGTGCAAGCCAACGACTGGGCTTTCTCCGACGAGCTGCCCACGTCCTGCCTCGGGGCGGCCGCCTGGAGATGTACAAAGGTTTCATACGCCCAGTCCTGGAGTATGCCCCATTGGTCTGGATGGGCGCCTGCCAGACCCATCTCGATCACCTAGATCGAGTCCAGAGGAGGGCTCTGGACATCATCGGCCCAGGCACCCTCCTGGACTCCCTCAGTCTACGCCGCTCGGTTGCTGGCCTCACGTACCTGTACAAGCTACGCTCCATTGATGGCCCAGCGCAACTCACCGCAATGCTTCCACCTCCGGAACCGCCACGGCCTCACCCCGAGACTAGACGACAGCTCGACGCCAGCCGCCACCCTGCCTACCTGAAGCTTGACCTCCCACACAGTGCCCGTAACTACATCCGCCGGTTATTTCCCTTCTGCTTCGTGGAAGTGTGGAACAGCCTTCCAGCAGAGATGCTCGCCAACCTCCAGGCTAAGAAAATGCAGGCGTTCAAAGCGAATGTTCACAGGCATTTGCGCCACAAGCACTGGCTTTGGGCAACGGACAACAACTAACGCCACTGATAATTCTCCCTCTCTCTCTCTCTCTCTCTCTCTCTCTCTCTCTCTCTCTCTCTCTCTCTCTCTCTCTCTCTCTCTCTCTCTCTCTCTCTCTCTCTCTCTCTCTCTCTCTCTCTCTCTCTCTCTCTCTCTCTCTCTCTCTCTCTCTCTCTCTCTCTCTCTCTCTCTCTCTCTTCTCTCTCTCTCTCTCTCTCTCTCTCTCTCTCTCTCTCTCTCTCTCTCTCTCTCTCTCTTCTCTCTCTCTCTCTCTCTCTCTCTCTCTCTCTCTCTCTCTCTCTCTCTCTCTCTCTCTCTCTCTCTCTCTCTCTCTCTCTCTCTCTCTCTCTCTCTCTCTCTCTCTCCCTCTCTCTCTCTCTTTCTCTCTCTCTCTCTCTCTATATATATATTTCTCTCTCTCTCTCTCTCTCTCTCTCTCTCTCTCTCTCTCCCTCTCTCTCTCTCTTTCTCTCTCTCTCTCTCTCTCTCTCTCTCTCTCTCTCTCTCTCTCTCTCTCTCTCTCTCTCTCTCTCTCTCTCTCTCTCTCTCTCTTACTTTGTAGGGATGTGCACATAGTATAATATTATATTAAAAAAATGAATGCACATTGATGAACTAATACTTGGTTCATAGGGACCGCGTATCAAAATTTGAAATTGGCAAGCGAGAAAACGAGACCTTTCGGACAAGCAGCCACTATAGGAGCTATAGGAGTGAAAAACTTGTCAGCGCCTTCTAGGTTCAGCCTGGTCCCATAGCTCAGTGGTTAGAGCATTGCTCATGACAAGCAGGGTCCCAGGTTCGAGTCCTGGTGGGTCTGGCGGTTTTTTTTCTCTTTTCAGGCAGTTCACTTCCCCGACTGATACTTTGAATTTGAAGTTCTCCCAATCCTTTCCAAAAAATATAGAATTAAAAAAATGCAAACCCAGTAAAACAAAGGATATTGAACCTAAACACAACAGAAATTGTGAGAAGGAAGCTAGCCCGACCCCGTCATGACGTCAGTGTGTAGCTGGTATATACTGTAGTACATGTTTGTGTATGTGACCAGTACAACACCAGTACAACAGCAGTACCTATCACGGATTGAAATGATTTGAAAATGATAAAACAAGACCTAAGACAAGCAACACCTCACACATGCCCTCCACAACAGCCAGCTAACGGAGTGCATCAGCTGGACGGTGGTTAGGGTCCAGCGGATAACGCTCCGAAAATGTTCGTATAATGCTAATCATAATGCTCCAAAAACTACCTCATAATGCTGATTATAGTGCTTCAACAAGGGTTATACTGCTCTCGGCTTGGTTCAGAAAGGAAGAAAGCCTGCACATATCCAATCTGCGGTTGAATCCGGCGCAATCTTTTCCACAAGCCCCACCACCTTGTAGCACTATAAAACATACCCGATTCTCCAGTGGTTGCTCTCCATTGCGGCTTTAACGCAAGGCTATGACTGAATAGTGTACATGTATATTATTATCATTATACTATCCCGGCATTTATTATCCAGGGAGTGACAGCTGTAAACTATGTTAGGGATCATTGGGATGAGGTTCATCATGGCAACTGGTAGTCCTGCTTGCAGACAAGCTGTCACTGCATTGGTTCTATGAATAATCTTTTCATCTGAAACAGCAGATATTAGGCTGATCTTGGATCCAGATCCCTTTAATTTGCGGCGAGCGTGAAAAAATGTGGCCAGATTATTTTGCTGCTCTACTTCCTTTACTTTTAAAGTCCTCTTCTCCTGGTGGTGTTGCATCGACAACTGGGTGGCAACATTGACAAGAATACTCTTCTTTGTTGATAGCACTTGACTCAGTCACTGCAGAGGCAATTCGTCGGAACAACATGCATCTCTTTATGCTTGTAGCTGCTCTTTCAACCTGGTCCAAATTTATAAAAGGATCGGCGTCTACTTCAGTATCGCTACTAGTCTAGCGACGCTATCTTCAGAGCCTGAGCCACAACGAGAAAACTCTTCTCCGGCTGTTGGACATTCACTTTGCCTCCATGGCTCCCCATGTTTTCGACAAAACATTTTCCTCCTTGTAAATCCTAGTTGTGAATTTTTGAAACAGCTTTGGTTGGGCGGACGTACAGTCGTCTAGTAGATCTACATAGTCAATGACCTGACTACATAGTCATTGCTACATCAAGTGCTAAAAGGTGTTATGTGTCTACACAAAGCGATCCACGATCCAGTAACACAAGCAAGGTTGCATGTACCGCATGAGTGTAGCTGATTGTTGCCAAAAAGCTGGGAATTCCCCATACATACTATCGACTATGAAAGTCCAAATGCCGCTCAAATCTCACAAAATGCTCGTTTTTCCTTTCTAATGCTCCACAATGCTCTGATGCTCGGATACCCCCAGAATGCCGAAAATAATGCCGAAATTATCCGCTGGACCCTAGCGTCAAGTCTAAAGACTTAGCAACTTCACACCTGCGCTGACTCATGCGCTATGATTCCCCTCAGAATTTCTCACCTTGCTCCCCTTGTGTTCAGGCTGCCCGTTTTGGAGCCATCAGTTGCTTCATGATCGTAGTAACACGTAAACCTCAGAGTTGCAACACAGCTTCCAATCTCTCTTGTGTACTTTTTTTTTATAGAGTTGCACTATCCCAGTATGCATACTAGCTTGCCTGCCATTTGCCTGTGGCCGGTAAAGACGGCAGTGCACTTCCGGTACCAGAGCTCAGAGGTCCAAAATGCGTTGACACTAGCTAGTACTAGTAGTAGGGACCGCATATAAACTTTTATAATTATTATCAAACGACAGAACAACAAGGACAATCAAGGTTTTTTGCTGCTACTTCAAGTTTCATCCTCTACTCTAGCAATCATCAGGCAACATGAGGAGGATGGGGTGCTGACCATGCCGGTATATATGCCAGGAGAGGCATATGTAGCGCTGTATGAAAAAAGCTGTGTGAGAATGTGGGGGCTCTATAGGTTTCAGGGCTAGCGGTGCTGTTTTAGGCAGGGGGGGGGGGGTAATTAGCAAACGAGGAAAGAGGATCATAGGGCTGATCCCGACAAGCAGCCACTTCAAACAGACTTAGTACGAAATGTCTACATGTAGATTATTAAGCAACGCGCTTCCTAACACATAATACGATCTATTTGACAAAAAGTTGCAGAGAATGCTCCCAATCTGCGGATAGTGTTCAAATGCTGGAGAAAGAGCAGAGTGTAGCACACGGTACGGCAGTGAACTAATACCAACAGCTAATAACATAACATTGGTCCACTGTCGCACTGCGAAAGCAAGAACTTCATGTACATAGCTAGGAAGGTTGTACCATGCGCATGAAACATCATAGAATGTGTTCAACTGTTTTGCTGTGAGATTGTTACTATGTAAATGAAAGCAGATCATTCAATGGTGGTTAAGGAATGGGGTGGGCAGAAAGAGGGATTTTTGAAAATAACCAAACCTAGGAAAAAGAGACTATTCCAGTCCGGTGCAAAGAAACGGGAAATCATGTGCCAACAGTCCAGTACTCCAGTTCAGCAGTGTTAACAAGTGTTCAGAAGGCAATACGTATGATTACATGTACATATTACACATTACAGGATAGTAACTTGATCTTGAGGGCAGGTCGTGAGAAGGTATAGACGAATCTCGCCAGTAACATTGGTCTTCACGTCCACTACTCCGGTACGCTCATGACGAGCGACTAACGTGTGATTATCACAATCCAATGACATGTGGATCACATCACCGGGTTGCCACGGCTGGCCCAAAGAGCCATTAGAAGCAATGTAACTGGTCCAAGCCAGGTTTGGATGGAAGACTGTAAGCTGCGGCTCCTTCTCATTGCACATGCCTAGCACGTAGTGAGTGTACTCAGCGCGAGGTGTACGACCAAACATATCCAGACGGACAGATATTTTGTGTCTGCCCGTGGTCCATCGTGTTGTGCCATATACAGCTCTGTCCCTCTGTTGTGGAGCAGCATTTTGTGACCGTTCTGCCATTGTTAGACAGAGCCAGGCCAGCATTACATTGTTTGGGGTCGAACTGCACTACATCATCAACAGTCGTGACTGCAGGACTGCCCTGGATGTGGCCAGTGTCAGTTGTGACAGACACTTTGACTTGTCCCTTCTTTCCGCCGCCTGTCTTGAATACAGCGAATACTGTGCTGGAGGAGGTTTTTGCATATGTTGCCTTGGCAACCGGACAGATTGTTGTGTCATTCTCCCCCGTCGTCACTTCCACTTTCACACTGTTCAGATGTTTGTCTGTTGCAGTCAGCGCGTCACCACGTTGGTTCCTCAAGTCAATGGAGATACGGAGATCTTGTCCTTCGTCCACGTTTCCCAGAATGGTCGCGATGCTCTTTTCAGAGGACACTGTGTCGGCGATCCAGATGGAAGCGGCCTTGGAGATGCATATAGCTGTGTTGGACTCGTCGTTGCCATCAGCCGTGAATTGTAGAGTAACTGGCTGGAATGGCTTCACTTCTGATTCAGCTGCATCCATGACGTCATGTGTGGCGTCTTCCAGCCAGGCGCACATCTTCAAGAAGTTGCTGTCAGACTGGCAATACTCGGTGAGATGTTTGACTCGCTGGCCAGTTGATAAGCTGGATAGGATGCGTTGCTTTCGCTCTTGCAACTGTACGCACTGCGGTAATTGCAGTTGGTCAAGCTTATCCAGCAATTGCTGCTCTCGCTTATCAATGACTCTCTTCAACTGAGTGAAGAAGTCATTGACTTGCGAGGATACAACTTCAGTTTGGTCATGCAGCTGCGAGAGTGCCTTGTCTGTTACAGCCAATGCATCCTCCAGTTGACTTTCTTCGCCAGAGAAAGAGGCGGACATCTTTGCAATGAGAGAGTCTCTGATTTTGGAAACAGCTTGCTGAATGGGTAGCAAATCCTGGCGATGCTGGGCATGGCGACTTGATGCTGCAAGGCATTTGTCACAGAGGATCTTTCGACAAACCATGCAGAAGCGTGATTGGTCAGAAGATGGATGCAGCGGACACTTTGCACCCGCAGTGGACCTTAGTACGTCGGGAGTAGATGAACCGAGTGGTACAACCTTGTGTTTGTAAGTCCGGCGAGATGCAGGATGTGCTTCGGCATGCACGGCACAGAGACTGTTGCTGCAATCCATACAAATAGCCACTATCCTCAGCACATTCATCACACAGTTCCTGTTGCACTGCGGAAGTAGCCTCACCTGCATCGCAGGACAACACATCACTGTCTGGAAGGTACTGCAACAAAGGAACACCAGCCAACGGTGGTGGAGTGATCGCGCCACAGTCAGGACATCTTACTGAACTATCATCGCCGGTATGCTTCTCCAGACATTCCACACAAATCGAGTGAAGACATTTCAACAGTTTTCCTCGCGTACCGCTACTCCCACAACAAATACAGTCTGACCTAGGCATGGCAAACTTTGCAGCGGATTCAACAACTAGTTACTTACTTGCAGTATTCAACGATCACTAGGTCTTGGTCTCTTACCATCAAGACTTAGTATTCTCATGAACACGCGAATAACAGACCGGGAAGCAGCACAGCATCTGCGCGATTTCCTAACTCTACTGCCGATTATATACTGGCACTAGATGACGTACTGGTTGCCTTTGCCAGGCCAGGGCATGCAGTCAACGGTCAGTCACATGCACAGTGTACGTGTGAGATGATAATGCGCATACTAGTCTGAGGGCCAGTATTGTTGAATATTCTTGTACCTTCTCCGTTTGGTACTGCACTCGCCGGAGCGATTCACAATACTTTTCTGCTACGCGACACGCGATTTGCGACAGTTGCGACAAGAAAGTTGAAGAAACTACCTGTCGCGAACTGTCGAGTACGATACTGTGCCCGGCAAGTCACCTGTCGCAGAAGTAACAAACGAAAGTTCAACTTTTGCGACATGCGACACGCGACATGCACAAATGGAGTACAGACTACCATGGGCTATAATACAGCTAGCTAGCTAGCTTAGCTAGCTACCCGTAGATCTACGCCGTGTGTTGCTGTAGAAGCTAGCTCGTCGCAGGCGTCGCAGGCGTCGCAAGTCACATGTCGCGTCGCAAGACGTTAGTTGTACTTGAGAGGTTCTGCGTGAAACGTGGAGAAATCACGTAGAGAGGAGGTGTCTGGGTTTTCTTTTTTTAGGAATGAACTCATTGAGCCTCTTGTATCAACACAATTACATAGAACGAATCATCAGATAATATTAATGATTATACAGACTCAGTAGGATCACTGCAGGTTCACTGGATGCGTGCCTCCGCCACTACTAGCATTGCAGGGGACTCGGGCACGGCAGGAGCAAATATGCTCCTTGAGCCATGCAGGCACATGGCACCACAACGCACCAGGGCAAACCCAAGGCGGCAGCGCAGCAAGGAGATATTCTGCGCGTATGGCTCCTTGCTCCTTGCTCTTCTCAGCCAGGAGAGAGGCGATCCGCGAGAAAAGCGCATTGGCATGCTTGCCATAGCCACCAGAGGCAGAAAGCACAACGGGCACGAAGGAGGCATGCTCGACTTCGGGTACTCGCTCTTCGTGCTTTTCCTGTTCATGGCGTCTGTAGCTAGCAGCGAGGGAGGTGGCACGATTCGAAGAATCAAAAGGATTGAACACCCGTACATCAATAAAGATGCGCTCTAGTCGGCCACCCCACACACCACTAGCCGCAACATCCAGCACAGCTGTGGAACACCTTTACCCAGCAATCTAGTTATTACGTGCCATCTCCACGCTCCGCCAGTTCCGCGCCAGCATGATCCCGCACACCCTTAGTACCTAGGCTAGAGTACCAAACGTCCCGTTTGATGATCAGCTAGCCTAGTTTCTCTCCACCTCTATCCTTACGGTATTACATCCCTCCCCAAATTTCATTAATAATTATTGCTGTAGTGTCTGCCAGCCTGCTCGTGTTTGAGGCACTTTGGGCTTACAACAGAAAGTGATACAGGCTGACAGCACTAGCGGGAGGAAAACAAGCTCTTGGGCTTAGACTCTTCACTTCATAATTCCACACAGAACTGAGAAGAATCAGCGGGTTATATAGGCCAGAGGGACAGAGCAGCTGGGAGTGAGGGCAAAAGATTACTAGGAAGACAACTGTTGAAAGATCTAAGGAAAAGCCATTTGAATGTGTGTGAGCTAGGGCTGAACAATAACATGGATTCGGGGAAGAAAGCTGTTGGATGCCTAGAATCTCGCAAGGGATCAAGAGGGTCAGTGATGGGGAACAGACTATACAGGAATCAATGTAATGTATTAGTACAGCATGAACGCAATAGGTCATGCGGCCGTACCGGTCTTGCAAGCAGGGCTATCTAGTCCTAAGTGGTTGCGCGTGAGAAGCACTTAGCTAGAATGGTCCTGTAACTACTGGTAGAGACTTGGCTGTGTGATCACTGACAGTCCGGGATACTACAGAATGTTCCTGTAACTACTGGTAGAGACTTGGCTGTGTGATCACTGACAGTCCGGGATACTACATCGCTGCTTTCTATCTGCATTCGCCACCTTTTCATTGGGCAGATCTGCCCGTTTGGTTGGCGAATTAAAATAAACACACAAACAACAACAACAACAACAACACCAACACCAACACCACCACCAACAACAACAACAACAACAACAACAACAACAACAACAACAACAACAACAACAACAACAACAACAACAACAACAACAACAACAACAACAACAACAACAACAACAACAATAACAACAACAACAACAACAACACCACCACCACCACCAACAACAACAACAACAACAACAACAACAACAACAACAACAACAACAACAACAACAACAACAACAACAACAACAACAACAACAACAACAACAACAACAACAACAACAACAACAACAACAACAACAAGGTCGAAAACAGGGGCCAGCTCCCGGTGATCCGAGCGAAGGGCGTCAGCCATAGACTTGACTGCGCTCCGCTTCTCGGCACGAACCGTCGCCTTGACCGTCCGGAGCTGGGTCAGAGAGTCGCCAAGAGACGACTCCTGCTCCAGCAGGCGAGACACAAGGCTAGTCATGAACCTTCTGGACGAGGTGTACAGCTCGGCCATTGAACAGGGTTTTGCCATACCCATGCAGTCCCCCAAGCCGGCAAGCAAGGCAGAGAGAGTAGGGAGCGAACAGGTGTTAGGTGGAGCTTGACCCGTGATGGCCGGGATGAGTCTGTGTCTGTGTTAGAGTTTGTGTTAGAGTCTACGGCTTCGCGTGTTTGGGGTCCGGTTTATATGCCCAATATAAACCACCTGCATGATGGGGCAGTTGACTGGAAGTTTGTATGAAAGGTCAGCATAAGTCATGCTATCATAGGACCCTGCCGTTTCTGGAGATTTCTAATGGCGTAAATGAGGTTCTGCTATTCTTTTAAAAGCGATTATTTGTAACACGGAAATTGGTTCCTTGGCTCACCATCTGAGTTCTTAAAGCTATTATTCATTTTCTGCTGCCCCCGGTTATTTCTTTTATTAGTATTATTTGCTTTGCCTTCGCTTTCTTGTTATTGGGCAACTTGCCCGTTAGAATCTGCGAAGTAAAATATACAACAACAACAACAACAACAACAACAACAACAACAACAACAACAACAACAACAACAACAACAACAACTATACGTTGTGGCACACGCAAAGAAGAAGCAATGCGTACGGATCTGCTGGCTATCATTCGAGTGTAGGCACAACATTGCCAAATATGGAAGGGGAAATTCCCAGTACATATTCCACGCGACTTCTCTACGTGAAACGACGTTACGTACATATGTAGAGCAGAACAGGATTTCTATACGTTACGGGAACGCGAAGAGAGTTCCAGTGATTCTTTGCTATTTTTTGCGATTGGCGATGCGACGCGATTTGCGACGGAGGCGCGCGATGCGAACTTTTTTGAAGAGTGTGTGAGTGTAGCACTCACACCCACAGTTGCAGCCACGCTTAGGCATGGCCCTTCTGAGCCCTGGTCCAGAAACCTCGCACCTTTCTATAAACCCCTAATTTAATACATCATCCGCAACATTCGTGCTTGCTACCCGAAACACGTCACCAGCTAATATGTATGAGTATCTTACACAGCTACAGAGTACTGTACTGCGCAATCAAACAATCATTGCTGCGTCCCTCAACTTACAATGTTACATGTACTTGCTCAGTTACCATGGTTATGTGAACTAATCAAGCCTCTTGTATGTGTGGTGAAAGCCTATTAGACTGAGTATTAGTATTACGGGCAAAATGAACACAATGAACACATTGAATGGAAATGCAATACAGTTAGTATGTGTAGCTTCACTGGCGGAGTTTGGAAGTCTGAAGTCGTGAAGAGAATTAACGGTGAACATAACAGTCCCTGCTTGGATAACACTAACCAGCCACACCATACATGTACATGTAATTCAGTGGTGAGCCTGGCTGGCTATAATGACTTACATGACTGTATACTAACTTTATAGTGAAGGTTCCTGATTCGAGTCCTGGTGGTGACAGTCAATTATTTTCACTGCAGTCTTTTTCCCAGTTTCCCAGTCCCTCAGACTTATGAACAGTCGTTGTATAGTACCACAGCACTACATACACGGTGTACCATAAGATTACAAATTACATGATTGTACATGTACATGTACATGCATGTCCACAGCGCTCGGCGGAGAACGCTGGCAGAAAATCGGCAGGTTGTGGTGGGCACTGGTGGCTATTAGATAACTGTACGGTACCCTTGGGTTTACCAGGTGTTATCGTAGTGAGTTCCCTTTTAATAGGAACTGACATGATAATTTACTTTTCTACTATTTTTTATAGAGTTGCACTATCCCATCGTGCATGCTAGCTTGCATGCGCTATGCCTGTGGCCGGTAAAGACGGCAGTGGCCTTCAGTACCAGAGGTCCAAAATGCGTTGACACTAGCTCGCTTTTTCAAGAGCTAAAATGTACATTGAAGTACTAAAATTTGGTCCATAATACTAGTATGTACTCAGATGGAGAGCCAAGGTTTAATTTACACAAAAGAGAAAGACCAAGGAACTACAAGTTAGTAGCTGGTGGTGTTAGTGGACAGTGTAGCGTCACTTGTAGTTCCTTGGTCTTTCTCTCTTTTCTATCAACAATACTAGTAGTAGTGGGGACCGCATATAAAATTTTATA